GTAAAAAATACCAAGGTCCTGGGATTACATTTTTGAGATGTGTGAGAGGCTGGGTTTGGCAGTACTCTGACATGGTTGGAGTTCTTTAACTCAGTGAGGAAACCTAGAGCCGACCTTGGCACATATGAATTAAGCCAACAATGGCTTTTTAAATATCAGAAGAGTGAACTGCCCCTGGGCCATGAGAAGAGGGGTTAATTTAGGAAAGTGCTTGAGAAAAGTTTCTGCAGTGATGGCAATATTCTGTATCTTGATAGGGGCTTGAGTTACATAGGCATGGGCATTCATTAAAACTCACAAATGTACACCTAAGATTTGTGCATTTCTTTGTATGTAAATTTTACACTAAAAACTGCAAAATATTGAACTCTAGTGAATAAATATGCTGAAATAAATATTCATGGTGTCTGCTTGAAATGTATTAAAAATGGATAAATGAATGCAATGGATGTGATAAAACCAGTCTCAGATGTTAATGATAAAATCTAAGTGGTGAGGGGTGCTTGGGTGGCTCAGTCTGGGGAGTGTCTGACTTTGGATCAAGTCATGATCTCACAGTTCCTGGGTTCAAACCCTGCATCGAGCTCTGTGCAGACAGCTCAGAGCCTAGGAGCCTGCTTCAGATTCTGTGTCTCCTTCTCTCTCTGTCCTCCCCTGCTCACACTCTGTCTCTGTCTCTCTCTCTCTCAATAATAAAGATTAGGGGCACCTGGTGGCTCAGTCGGTTAAGCGTCTGATTTCGGCTCAGGTCATGACCTTGCGGTCCCTGAGTTCGAGTCGCCACATCAGGCTCTGTGCTGACAACTCAGAGCCTGGACCCTGCTTTGGATTCTGTGTCTCCCTCTCTCTCTCTGCCCCTCCCTCTCTCTCTCTGCCCCTCCCCCACCTGCACTCTATCTCAAAAGTAAATATTTAAAAAAATTTTTTTTAATAATTTTTTTTTAATTTTAGTGGTGAATGTACAAATGTTTGCTCTATAACTTGTCTAACATCACTGTATATTTGAAAATTTTCATAATAAGATGTTGGGAAGTCACCCAATGCTTTATCAGAAGCAAACAAACACTCTGCCCTCTGGGTGCACAGCAATTCTGAGGACTGTCACTGGGAATATGGAATTCCTTCCAGTGTACCCTCTGCCTTCCCCTTGGCCATTGACCTCCTCTGTGGCACACACTCTGGCCCGCATGTCCTCCCTCTCCCTCTGCCGCTTCATAACCACACCCTCACCCACTGGGCAAAGGTGAAGGAAAAAACAGCACAGGGTACCCAACTATTGAGCAGATCTTTGTGAAGACTCAACCCTACAGTGCTGTCATGGTAAATTGCCAGCATACATACTTTTCTGTGCCCAGAGAAGGCTGCAAAAGCTTGACTGTGTGTGTCACTCACACACACACACACACACACACACACACAGCGCCTAATTGCGGTAACTAATATAAATTGCTTAGTATTTCAGATATAAAATTATAGAAAAGATTGTCTTCTGACAGCATGAAGAAAATGATCAGTATCTGCCTTATTTCCACTGCTCATGGAGAAAGAGCTTGACATTTTTTGAGCCCCAGATATGGTTGCAATGTTTTTGCATCCATTGGCTCACACAGCCCCATTATCCTCATTTTATAACAAAGCTCATGGTCATGGAGCCAGTAAATAGATCTAGGACTCAAAAACCAGGATCTCCTCAGCTCAAAACTTTCTCACCAAAGCACATCGTCACTGACATTTAAAATAGGTTATGTCCTGCAAAGCTAACGTAACTACAAGAACAACAGTAGTCATGGGGCCAGGACTTTACAAAGAAAGGTACTTTCATATTCTACTTTGCCCGTTTTTACCAAAACACCACCCACCAAAGGGTATTTTTGACAGTTTACACTAGTCAATATATAGTTTGTCAATATATAATTTTTACATTCTGCTGACAAATAACAGAAAATCTGGCAAATTTTTCCATATTTTCTGGCTTTGGGGGGCAGTTTGGGGTTTAAGAAACCTGGTTAACTGAAAGGAATTTACTCTTGATGTCAGTGTTGCTAGTTCATACGTTAAAATTAAACAGTCCAACTAATCCCTAGTGATCTTCTGTATCCTGCTCAGACCATCTGACAAAAATTCTTATCCAATGGAATGGAAGCTTTTCCCCACGTGTTAAGCCAGCTCCCTAAACTACAGAAACTAGAATCACCCAGTAGATGGCACTAGTTGTGCGGACTACTCTTTTTATTCCTTTTCTATCCTTAGTCCCAGGACCTAGGTCAGAGATCTTACTCTATTAGGGTTGTATCTGAAACAAGACTAGCCCCACATAGCAACCAAGTAATGCCTTGCATGTTACTTGTGGAAAATATTTAGCTGCCCTTGTACAGAACAAGACTGCCATCCTGTAAGTAGTGGGATCTACTGGGCATTTTTAGGAATGTTTACCATGCCTCAACCACCCTACTTTTCACTTTGGCCAGCCTCACTCCACATAATAAAGTAGGGGGCTGAGGAATGCTCTGGGAGATAAGAGGAAGGTAGAAGATACTGTAAACATGTACTTTGCTGAGATAAGCAATAATAAAATCTACTTGTAAAAAATTCAACAGAAACCTAGGGTGAAAAAGTTTTTTACTTTTAGGCCCAAATGAAGCTAGGTGACTCCATTATAAATAATCTGATCTTAGTATGGACATAACTTGAATAGTTCTTTTTGAACCTAATTCAAAACTCAACAATGCTCACATCTAGAGGCCATACTCAAACCCTACTCTGCTTGGGACTACCCTACTTTACCCATCAATTCTGTGCTTTGGAGACATATGCTTCTAAGTACAATTTTCCCATGTTTTACAAACCAGAATTTTGGTATATTCTAGCTTCACAATAATAAATGAAACTAAGGATGTATGGAGATATGCATGTGCCGTTTCAAAGCAGTTATTTCTGTATTGGGGGAAATGTCAAGGGCAAGACACAAAAATCTTCAGGGTCATTATCTCAAGTGCTGCTCTACCAGACCTACACTTACAAAGTCCCCTTCTGGTCCAGCAGGGAACCAATTCCTAGTCCTAACAAGTTTCTGGGGAAAATCTCCTACAACTGGCTTATAAACCATTGCTTCAGTTTTACTCAACATACAGTCAACATATGGACAAGACACTGAACTAACTCTACGTCCAAAAGATTTTGCTGGAGTAAAACAAAATTTTTTGGCTGAAAATGGTAAAGAACCGGTTTCTAAAGCCAGGCCAACTCCTTACATTGAGGTTGTCAGTAAGCACATGTGATAGGGAGGACTGCGGGGTCTATTTGCAGTTCAATAGCTAGTCTCCAAGCTTTGGGTTGGCGTGGTCCTAAAACTTGGGGAGTCACACTGCAGTTGTGGGTTACCTACTGAGGCCTTTCAAAAGGCTGAAGTGTCTACCAAATTGTTAAAACGCTCATTTTACTGCATCATACCAGTTACCTCATACTGGTAAACAGCCCTTAAAAACATCTTTGGGTTGAATGTTCTTAGTGTGAAAAGTACTAAATAAATGGCTTATTAGGAACAGTCGGGCTTGGTTTTCTCCAGTCTGTTTCTTACTTTGTGATCTGTGCTTTGAGAAACATCATTAGACACTTTCAGCTCAGAAACCTGGAGTAATCTGGTCACAATATTTGAACAAAAGTCTGGTGTGTGCCTAATAAAACAAACTTCCAGGATTTTGGAGAAAAGTTGAATACACCTGGAAAGCAAAATGTTTTTCCTAAGCTTCTCCCTGAGGACCTAACAATATACCATTCATGGCAGTGCTGTTTTCCAAAGGTCACAATCAGATTTCCTCAGAAGCATACCTTAACTGTTAATCATTAGGACTTCTTTGCGAAATGTGGGAGTGTTTTAATTACCCTGACATTTAATCATTGGCTGAAACCTGGTTTCCACCACAGCCAAGAACATCCGCTTTTACCCGTCATACAACCAACCCCTACCACAGAACCGTCACCCTCTTTTCTATCAGAAACGTAAAGACTCATCAGATAGGAAAGGGGGGCAAGTGCTCCATGTTGATACTGCCTTTTCCACGGTTTTCAAGGTTTGTTGTCTCTAGACCCTTTCCAAATACATTAGAGAAAAGGGTCTTAAGAGTCACAGCAGCCTAAATTTGCTTGGAGCAAACAGTAATCACTTTCTAACAGAAAAGGGAAGTCATTTCAGTAACTGAAATTCCAGATCTATATAAACTTAAAACTGCCGTTGTGTCTTCACACTGATGTAGAACAGTCAATCTGTACCTCTGAGAAAACTTTTCAGGACTAGTTAACCAGCTACCTCTACTCTAAAGATTCTTTTTTACTAACCTCCCATCTGTTTGTTTTCAGCATCATCCCTTTGGCATTATATTACTCAACCCAGCAAATTAAACATTCTTTCAAAATGTTAAATGATCAAAATATGAGTGGCAAGTACTCAGTGCTACAGATACTCAGGGCATCAAATTAAACTGTCCTCAAAGCTAAAGCAGATTCTTAAAACTACAGGAACAAAGCAAGAGCTGGTAATAAAAAAGCAAATCCTGTGTAAATGCCTAGGGGAAAGCACACTGCACCCTTCACTATTACCCATCATCTTCTGGCCTTACGAACTTCTGGATCGTAGTAACAACCCAATACTGGCCCAGAGAGGAGGGGCCAGCTGGCCGATGACACTTCAAACCTCTTCAGAACTGTTCTGCCAAAATGAAATGGGACCCAATCCTAGCAGCGTGTATTGCTATACTAAATGATTTTTGTTTTCGGTAGGTGTTTAAACATTTAAAAATTCACAGGTGAAAGCACCAGGAAAGAGGAAGGTAGAAAACTTTCTTCCTCTTCTTGATGAGTACCGTCCAAGCAGACTGGTAGGGCAAATATTCATTATGGATTGTAATTCACTTGGGTTTTGAAGGCTTCCCTTAAGAAAAAAGAGATTTGTTAATAAATGATAAAGAACACAGAACAACAAGATTAAATTACTGAGGCAAATGTCAGTTACAAAAGTAAAAGCTTAGATCTTTCTCTATTTAATATCCATGTTAAAGAGTAACAGTATTGCCACACCTAACTGCATTTTTTTCTATTCTTGAGGTATGATTAGAGGACAAACATTTGACTGCCTATTGTAGCCAGAAACGATTCTGATCACTTACATGGGAAATCCTCAATAACTCTATAAAGGGATGATATTACTTACTTGTTTTTTCAAGTTGTGGAACTTAAGGCTCACAGGTTTTAAGTGTCATAATTTGCCTACCATCGTAGGTGAGGAGACAACAGGGCTGGGATTGGAAGCCCAGCAATGAGCTCAACCTGAGAGTTTACTTTTCAGAAACTCCAAAATACTTCCTTTTAAAATCATCTTTAACACTATATTCTCCCATAAACAGCTTACAGTATTATCGCTCCTATCGCTACTTAGATTTTAAAAAAGGTTTTTTTAGTATTTTAGTATTTTTTTTACTCCAAGCGTTTGTAATTTTGTGAACATCTTAAGAAAATATTAGTCACAAAGCCAAATTAGCTACAATCATGGAGTAGATGAGTAAGGAAAAACTTCTAGCACACATAAACCCCAGTTACTGAAGTACTATGAACCATAAATAAGCTCCTTGAGATTAGTCATCATCCACCTCTAACACTCTCCACAGTGCCGAATATGCAGCGTGTAATGAAATCGTTAGATACACTGAATTAGGGTACGTGAATATTCTGGCGCCAACTTTTATATTCGAAGGCTATGGAGTTCTTAATAAAACAGAGTCTACTTATTTTGTGACTTAGGTAGGGGAAAAAAAGACAGTGACAAATACAGAGCTAAGCAGTCGCCAGGCTGAAGCAACCATTACAACTACGGTAAAATGTGCTGGCTCTCCACTGTAAATCATTCAAAGAGCAAAAATAAGGTAGGTCTGTTAACATTAATGCAAGTTTTATTCAAGAGATAGTACTGAAGAACTGAATTCTAACAACAGAAAAATTTACCAGTTATCCACTCTACAGTAAAAAGTGGAACTGGGGACCACTTAAAACACATAAATAAATTCTACCTTTACATTTCTGAATAAAGCTGTATTCACTTGAGAGAGAGAGAGCCATGTAACTTTTACTGATAAGGCTTTGTGAATTGTGTGCAGAAACTCTGACAACACACACATACATACACTCTTCAAAGAAGGCAAGTCCCTAGGATTTTCACTCCAGGATGAGTTTCTGTAAGTACTTAGGACTCTGACTTAAGACTGCATATTTCTACACGAATTCGATTTGAATTGCCTTCATTCTAATATCTATCCATCACAATTTTTAATAATTAAATCAACATTTATTATGACTTTATAACTCCCTCAAATTACACGTTAATATTTGACATGGTAGTTTCAAAAAATAAATATTCAAGGCCTCAAGTTTTAAATTTTCCTTCAGTGTAATGCACAAAGTAGATAACAAATATTAATAGGACTACCCTAAAATAAATGCAGCTTTCTTATAAAAATTACTTGTTATAATACAGTTCCCATTCTATTCTGTAATTCTGACAAAGAATATATTTTTTGGTAATAAAACAAGAGTTTAGAATGGTTCAGTCCTTGGAAAATCTTAATGGCAGTCACTCAGTGAAGACATCAATCATTCCTAGAGTCCCAACTCAAAAACTGCTATTAGCATTGACTGAGTTTTTGTGGGGTTTTTTTAGTGGTTATTGCTTCAGTTGGCAATACCTGAATTTAAGACAAAAGAACATCTCCCACTAAGCCTTATTTTAAATATTACAAAATGTATACAGAAGATAGACTCATAGAGGCTATAATGCTGATGTCTTAAGTAACTCACCCACGAAATGGGTGCAGGCTTTTTAGAGGATAACCTAGATCTTCTGGCTCTAAAAATAAATGCCCCTACTTTTCAGAGTGTTCCCATTCTTCAAATTCTTCAACAGGAGACTTGAGCAGCTTAACAGTTTTGCTATAAAAACAAACCACTCTTGTTACCAAACCAAAAACAGAAGGAAACTGATGAAGGACATAGTTTTCACAGTTAACGATAAATAAAAGTGCAGTAAGTGTTCAAGTAGGGCATGTAGTTTAAAAACTACATGTGAGTATTTGGCATAGGTCATCTTTTAAAGGCTCTCCGAGGGTCCCTGCCATTACTTATTGTGGTCATGACTGTTTGATTATTAGCCGTTCCTTGTAGTTGTGGATTTGTAGGTCCCCGGCCATTGCTTCTACCAGCATATGAAAATTGGCATCCCCTTGATTCTGGGCCAGTTTGAACCCCATTTCCTAAAAGAGAATATAAAAGTTCATCATCATTTTCAGACACTGACCTAGATGTACAGAAGTACACCTATCTGAAGTCCTAACACACACTATTAATGCTAACAAGTAGTATTAGAGAAAACAAAGGCCTTTATTGTTAAACTACTGGAAAAAACTCAATGTGGGCTCTAGGTTTTTCCAGATGTATGATTACTGTAAATACATTCACTTGATGCTGATCAGCAGGGAGACAGAAATAGATGATGGGGCAACAGAATGAAAAATTAGTAGAGTACAAAAGCAAAGGTAATGCACTGCCTACATTGTAAGGGAAAAAGAAAAAAAAAAAAAACAAAGGGGAAGATGGTGTATGAACACTGGCATTAGGTTCAAACACGGTTAATAATACTTCAAAAGAACAGTGTAATTCTAACTTTGCAAAGAAAATACAGCAAGGTTTCCCACAATGTGATGATCACCAGCTGTGCCAAAACACGCAGCCCCAGGTCAAATAAAACTTCAGCCACCCTAACAAACTCCAATCCCAAAGACTTTTCCTCAGTTATTTAAGAATAAAAACTTCAAAAGACCTTTAACACAGCTGTAAGCACCATTAACATGACATTTGAGAGTATCTGAGGTCTTTGTAAAGGCGATTCTTTTAAAGAGGCAGCTATCAGCATGTGAAAAATTAAGGCTGAGCTATTAGTCTAAAGAAAAAAGGCTTTTGGTGTGCCAAAATGACCAGTAATTCTGCACCTATTAAATAACCACTAGATCACAGAAATTTTGTTTAAAAAAAAAAAAAAATCGATGGAAAAACATATTATGCATCACCAAAACAGATTTCTTGTTATTAGCCGCTGTTTAAATATAGAATGTGCTCTGGAGGTGGGTGGGGGGATGGGTGGAATAGAGGGGATTAGGAGGACACTATCTTCATGAGCACTGAGCACACATGGAATTGCTGAATCACTACACTGTACACCTGAAACTAATGTAACACTGTATGTTAACTACACTGGAATTTAAATTACACAAATAAATATATGTGTAGAAACATTTTTAAAAAATGTGCTCAATAAATTAGCTGAAGAAGGTACCTGCTATCTAGACAATCAGTTATTTAGGAATTCCCTGTTAACCAGCACTTCCCTTTTAGTGCGAGTCTGTGCCTAAAGACAATTTTCTTCTAAACCTTTCACAGGATACAGCCTCTTAATTCTTAACATCTGATCACAAATACGAAAAAAAAAAAAAAAATCTTACCCACTGGTCCAAATGTACCTGTACCCATATTATTATTCATGGAATTATTCTTCTGTTCATTTTGTGCCTAAAAAATATGTTTTTAATTTAACCAGTTGAAAATCTATTAAAAAATTATTATAATAACATGTTGTATCCACTCTTTAATTGTTAAAGCTTTTGGTTTTTGTTTTTTTTTTTTTTAATAAATTTTTTTAAAGATCTACCCAAGTCCATTCAATGTTAACATTCAGGAATATTTCCCAAATCTTTCACAGCTTCTGTTACATCTTACTGTATTTTCCTGACATTACTCCCTACTCCTCAAAGTACTAAATGGCATATATATTTAATACATGATACTAAAGATACATATACAGACTCACAAAACATAGAGAATAAAAATACTTTAAGAAGATTTTTTTTTCAACTGTCTTCATTATACCCTGGGTACGACAGGGTTGGACACCTAGTCACAGAATTAGAGTACCCAGTCGAAATTAGCCTAACCATAACAATAGACTATACGTGTGGATTAATTACCCCTCTGCTCTGTTGTCCTCGATAATCTGGGTTGGGTTCACTGAAATTTGGCACTTCTGAATAAACCATACAAAATCTGAAAGAAAATAAAGCACAAAGTTAAATGACTTCTAAAATAATCAACCTTTCTTCATATAACATGCATAACTGATAGGAAAGAAGAATTTAGGTGTCAAATGAATTAACCAAAAAGCAACATGCTAACTACTTATACAACAAAAACTTCCAAAATGCTATTTTGTTCCATAAAACAAAGTAGTTGAAAATATCCAACTGCCTACATGTATAAAACATTCTATTTTTTATTTTAATTCTGTACTGCAAAAAATAAATCATGTCAAAGATCAAAGACACAGAAACACATCTTTGTGCTGTTTTTCCATATAGGCTGATGCCACTGAACCATGTTTAGGGTTCCAGAGTGGTTTTTCCAGCAGTGGTGATGGATTTGCACTGATCCATTCACACACTCTCATCCAGTCCCTCTTTTGACCAATCACTGTGAATCTGCAAAGATAATCATTCACGGTTAAGAGTGGAATGTGCAGGTATGAATAAAGACAAGTGGCTATAAAGACAAGTTTATCCCAATGCTTCTTGTAGGTCGACTATGGCATATATTAACATTACACATAAGCATTTACTTAGCTCCTCACCCCATAAATAAGAAGTTAAAATCAATTTTGGCAAATCCTAGACTGACCTTGTCAGTCACTAAGAACCAATTGACCTCCAGTGGTTCTTCACTTAAGTGACCTCTATTATTATAAATACTTCTGTACACATGAAGGTCAGGACAAGATCCTAAATCCGTTGATAATAACGATGCTAAGAGCTTTCAATAACATGTTGCTCTAATACTATTCTAAAAACAAACATAAGTGAATTCTAATTTTTCTCCTAGCAAAAGCAAAGTGTTGTTTCTGATCTTTAAAAGCCAGCAACATTGCTTTATCTTTTCCAAACAAAGAATCTTATCCCTGTAGTGTGGAAGAGTATCTCCCCCACAACCCTTTTTTCAGTGCCACGTGTGGCTTCTCTTTAAAAATATCCTCCTTGGGGCGCCTGGGTGGCGCAGTCGGTTAAGCGTCCGACTTCAGCCAGGTCACGATCTTGCGGTCCGTGAGTTCGAGCCCCGCGTCGGGCTCTGGGCTGATGGCTCAGAGCCTGGAGCCTGTTTCCGATTCTGTGTCTCCCTCTCTCTCTGCCCCTCCCCCGTTCATGCTCTGTCTCTCTCTGTCCCAAAAATAAATAAACATTGAAAAAAAAATTAAAAAAAAAAATAAAAATATCCTCCAATGTGATGGGCATTAAGTAGATATCTAAGCATTAACCAAACAGAATGGACTAATGATCTGGCTCATTGCTAACACAATACTTTATGAACACATCCCAAATGTCTAGGCTGATATGGAGGCTGAATTACCTTTACACCCCTAGAGAGGATGGTTCCTCCAAGTCAGGGTGGAGATTACGAGGGTAGTAGTGTATGGAAGCTCGCATTGTGGCTGCCTGTACGGTACCTAGACTGTGGATAAATACAGGACTTCAATTGTCATCGCTGTAAGTCCTTTTATCACGAGTACAATTCACCCATAAATGAAAAGAGATAAATTTATGGCCTGAAACCTAGCTTCTTACCTAGCTGCTTATTTGGCAATTCCCTAGAAGACAGAACTTATTTCAAATGGCACTGTGACACCTGAAAGCTGCACATTCCCAAAGCCTACAGAAATGGCCCCAGCGGAGCTCGTCTCAAGTGCAACTGGATTCTCTTTGCTGAGGAAAATGGACATTCTCAACCACAAGAAACAGAATAGATGGCTATTAAACTGGTACATACGTGTAAAGTGGTTTCTACAGTCTGCTGTGGAAGGCATTCAGTATACCAGTCAAGAAAAGCCAAGAGAAATTTATTACAGTTAATACCTACCAGTTACTCTGTAGATATTTTATGCAATGTATTCAATTATAGGAAATGCATTTTAATACTTACTCCCCAATTTTTTGAAGTTCTCCACCCCTTCCAGTATAAAGTGTCAAACACCCTTTCCACATGGAGGCATACCTAGACAAAAAAGAAACATCAGTTCTATAGAAACATGTGTATGTCCTTCTACTTAAGTAAAACTTTATCCTTTGGTTTTTTTTGCATTAGGGTTAGGTGGAGATCAAACTCTGTGTTTATGGTAATAAATCAAATACAATTCATCTCATTTTGATTGTTACTTACAAAGGAATACAACGAAAAACAACTGCCAAATTCTGACATAATTGTCTTACCTATAACTACCCTTAGAGTTGAAAGTCCTTTTTGCAAGGTAATAAGCACTGTTATACTCCAAAGATCACGTCTTTAGCCAATTAACAAAAGAACTTTCAACTGTAGAGATTTAAGCAGAAATTATTTTTCAATCACAGAATTTATAAAAATCAACACCAAGTGTTTACTTTTACACTCATTTACTTGGTCTACTCAGAAATTAATAGAATAGTTTTTCCTCTGCCTCCTTAAAACACATAGGGTAGATAAGCTACTGAAAATTTAGTAAAATTTAATCAAGGACCTTAAAAAAAAAAAAAAAAAACCCAATCTCTCACCTATCTGCCTTTCCAAATCTGCAATTTTTAGCATCAACTTGGCTGAACAGATTATTTATTCTGATCAACTTTGAATGCACACAGCATCATTAAATATTCCTACACACAAATCTAATAGAAATGTAAATTAAACATTATAAAATCAGTCCAAGGTTTGGTTTCCAGTTGTTCTCCATACAACTACAATGGTAACCTTATGACTTAGAAGGGTGACTTATAACTAAATGTTGTTTAAGTATAGTGACGGTTCCTCTTTTAATATAGGTTAATAAACACTTACTAGTGCCATACTATATATTCTTCTTTAGTAAGGACATATTTATTAAAGACTCCAGCACACTCACTCTATACAAAAAGTGACTTGGAAGAGATAGTGCACTAATATTTCACCTTGGTAGTGTAAAAGTTAATGCACATTGAGAAAAAATTGGAAGTTACTACAAGTAAACATTTAACTGGCACTTGTGTTTTGGGAATAAGATCAACACTAGCAGGGTGTCCTGATAAACCTATGAATATTCAAATTACCATTATTTAGATGTATGCCTTTCTTCGAAAACTACTTTTCTTAGATACAACCTGAATTTAAGGGCCTTCTAATAAACAGGCCAGACTCCACTGGATATGTTATTTTAGTAAGTAAAGTATAAATATTTCCGTTTTCCAGAAGACGAAGTTAAAGAAGTGTATTAACCTCAAGGTCACACTGCAGTTAGAAAACAGTGGAGTTTCTTTACTTTTGATTTTTCCTTTAAATTATATTCCTTGAAATTCCTGTACAAATACTATACAGATACTGAATTTAGTTTTTCCACAAATTTTTTGAGGGCCACATCTATGTGTTTTCCGTGACTACAAAATATGAAATATCTGAAATGGGATGGCTGTTTACACTGTATAAGATACTTTTAATCACCGGATGAGAAATACTTTGGCAGCCAAAAAAACTTTAATTATGCTAATCCTCACCACACCCTCACAGGCAGGAATTCTTTTGTGTAAGCTACAGATATGGAAATTTAAAAGACACGATTAGTGTCCTAATGAGTCACTGTATGAGAATAAAATGTCTACGTTCTGACTCTCACTTCCTTCTTTGATGACACTGCCTCACTTCCTGAAGATGTTGTAAGGCCTGGAAGATATTATCAAAGGGCTCTAACCTCCTCCATTCAGGGTGATCCAACACTTCTCTGAGATCCTATTTACTTTGCCAACATCAATCTCCGCCCACTTTTCTTATACTTGTGACAAATAAATTCTAATTCTACTGACCACAGAACTTCCAAAATCCATTTCAAGACCCATTTCTGGCCTTATACCTTCCTAATTTAAATACCTGGTAAATTTTTAAAGGCAGGATAATTGCCAATCAAGAAACAGACCAAAAAAAGGTGTGCTAAATTATTTTTAAAGGCCAATCAGCCAACTGAATCTTTTGGATGGAGGTAGCAGAGACCTCTTTCTGCCAAACATTTCCTGCATATCATTCTGGTTTTTGTACTATGCTGACCTTACAGCAATAGGCACAGGAAATTACTCTCCAGAAGGTGCCTTCCAGATATTGTCAACTTCCCCTCTTAATATTTACATCCGAGTACAAATTTGACACACCACAAAAACTGCTAAATTGTTCAACTACAATCTTATGTCCTCACTGTCTAAATAAAATATAGGCAGGATTTCAAAAGTCACTAAAAAGGGGGAAAGGTTGGAAAAGAGCTGACAACTGTATTCAATAATTTGTGGGGGGAGAAAAGTATTGACTATATTAATTTTATCAATCTACTAAAAATACTCAATAATCCCCGAAGAGTATTTAAAAATCTACTTAACCTGTAAACTGAGGGGGGAGTGGGTTAGATTCCCTGGTGAAACTGAACACTTTTACTGGCGAGGGTATTACATCCCAACGCTGTCCACTATCTAAAGTTAACATCCAAGGGGCTCAAAACTGCTTGGAGGCCCACAGAAAAGAATGGAACTCCAGAACTTGCCAAGATCCCCCATCAGGCAATGATTCGGCAGACTGCTATTTTGGAAGCATTCTCCCTCCTCCCCATTTTGTGCACACCTACCCTCTGGTCAACCGAATAATATCCCCTGGCTGTATAAGACCTCCGATTTCATCCCACACGGAAATAGTGATGCTGCCCGTTTTATCTGCTACTTTGCATGATCTCACTTCATGGCCGTCTTTGGTTTTGGTCACGCGTCCTGTGAAGATTTAAAAATCACAAGGGGGGGAAGGGGTGTATTAGATGAGGACTTCCAGAAAGGATCTAACTCCTCCTCCGGGATCCAAACGCAGTGGAAAGGTGGGAAGAGGTCGAGCCCCGGGTTTTCGCAGCAGGTTGGATCCGAGCCCCGGCGGGGGCCACCAGGGCCACGTGGATGGGGGGAGGGGAGGGGGAACGGAGGAGAGGAGGAGGGGAGCCCCCGGCTAGCAGCGGCGGCGCCCTTCCCTCTTGCCCCAGAACGCAAGGGGGCGGAGGGGTGGGCTGCAGACCCCACTTACCTATCTCCAGGACAATAAAGACGACATTTAAGTTTTTCAGTCCGGGCTTAATATCTTTTATAAAAAGAGGTGGGTCGCTGACCCCATTCATATTGAGGCAGGTGCGGCTACGGCTGTGGGCAGGGAGTGGGACAAAGCTTCCCACCCTCCCGGGCAAGGGCGAGGGGGCAGGGGAGACTCTGGGTGGGGGTGGCGAGAGAACGGGCAGAAAGCGGTTAGTCAGGGATCACGGAAACCAGCCCAGACGGCACTGAGTCCAAAAAAAGGAAGGAAAAAACCGGGCTCACAAGTTTAAAAAGAAAAAAAAGATGAACTAGTCCACACGCAAACCCCACTCCCAACGGGGCGACAGGAAGGCAAGCGTGCGAACCGCCTCCTTTGGGTAAAAAGGCAAAAAAAAAAAAAAAGGCAGCGAGGGGACGTCTCTGCCCTGAGTCCCCCTCACAGTCACAGCACACACAAACACACACACACACACCACACGCGGGCGCGCGCCCAGTCTGTTCCAGGATTCGAGAAGAGACAGACTGTGACAGCGAACCCGGAGCGCAGACCTAGCAACCGCGCACTCAGCGTCCCAAACAGCGACTGCCGAACGCACCCGCGCGCAGGCTGGACCCCAACCCCGGCAGCCACGCCCCTTGTGACGTCACGTAGCGTCGGCACGCCCGTCGCCCGGCCCTCCGGGCTTGTAGGAAGAGAAGCGAGGGGTCCGGAACCGTCTGGCGTCGTCCGCGCAGCCTCACTCTCTCCTCCCCGGCTGTCAGCCTGGGCCCCGCCCTCTCAGCCTTCCAATAGGCTCTCGGCCCCGCCCCGCCCGTTCCTGCTTCCGCCATCGCTGCGCCGCGTCCGCTTTGCCCTGCAATTTTCCCAGTGCCGGTTTCTAGTGCTCGCTGTCCAACTTCAGGGTATTTTTGCTCTCGCTCAGAGTTCAGACGTCCACCCCGGCCATTTAGTCCCGTGGTCACAAGGAGCAGTTGCTGTGTTAGGACTCAGTGGGTACGTTAAAAAAAAAAAAAGTGTGCAGTTGAGTCCAGGTTTAGGCCAGGGTAACTAGTTGGGTGGAAGGAAAAAAAAAAAAAAATAGGCAGGGATGGGTCTTTAGCCACAATGCTGGAATTTTAGTATCAGAAGGGAACTGAAGATTGATTCGACCGCCTCTTTTTAAGCATATGTAAATTGAGGTCCGGAAGGGTGAGATATTTTGTTGAAAGTCACCCAGCAACTTGTGAGCAAGCAAGACTTGAACACCAATCATCTGACCTGGTCTTGGCACCTTGGCACTGTAATAGTAGGCAGATAAGTAGTTAAATTCCTTTGCAAGTTTCTTATTTTTCCTTCCCCTTCCCCTCTTACATGTCACCCCTTTGTCACTTTGCTTTTCTTCTCTATGCTTTTTTTTTTTAATGGACTTATTTTTAGGGAAGTTTTAGATTCACAGCAAAATTTAAAGGAGAGTATAGAGATTTCACATATATCCCCTACTCCCATGCATGCTTGTCCTCTCTCATTTTCATGTTCCCCAGTGGAGTGGTACATTTGTGATAGTTGATGAACCTACATTAACACATCACTATCCCCGGAAGTTTATAGTTAACCTTAGGGCCCACTCTTGGTGTTTTATGTTTTATGGGTTTGGACAAATGTGTGATAACTTGTAGTCACCATGACAGCATCATACGGTGTAGTTTCACTGCCCTCAGAATCTGTGTGCCACTTACTCATCCCTCCCTCTCCCCCAGCAACCACTGATCTTTTTACTGTCTCCCCAGTCTTGGCTTTTCCAGAATGTCATATGGTTGGCAACATATAGTGTGTGACCCTTTCAGATTGGCTTCTTTCACTTAGCAACGTGCATTTAAGTTTCCTCTGTGCCTTTTCATGTCCTATCAAGTTATGCATTTGTTTTTATACATCCAAAAAATCCTGTAACAGCAGTTAGAAACCCTGAGAAATTATAACCTGGACAAAAAATGAATAAAGTTTTCTTTACGTCTTTGCCCCACATAGTGGAGAGGCATGTGCTTTAGAAACAAACCTGGGCTCCAACTCCTTAACTGTGTGACCTTTGGGAAAATTGATTAAGCTTTCTAGTCATAATTTAAAATCTGAAAGATGAAGCTGGCCTCAGGAAATTACGTAGGATCACAAATAGTCTAACCAGTGCCTAGTAAATAGTAGATACTCAATACTATTTCCCCCACTTATTTTTTATTATTAAAGAAGAGAAGGGGCGCCTGAGTGGCCCAGTCGGTTAAACAGCCCACTTTCGCACAGGTCATAATCTCACAGGTTTGTTGTGAGTTCAAGTCTGCCTACAGAACTCTGTACAGACTGCAAGTCTCCCTGCAGAACTGGCTTCAGATCCTCAGTCTCCCTCTCTACCCCTCTGCAAGCACACACACGTGCACTCATCTGCTATCTCAAAAATAAACATGAAAAAAATAATAAAATAGAGAAGAACAAGAGTAGCTTAAACTGTGATTGCTTAATCCTTCCATCAATCCTGTGTGGTGACTGCTAACTTTTATCCCCAATTTACAGATGATGAAACTCACCAGAGACCACATAGCTAGAGAATGGCCAGACTCAGTTTTGAATCTAAGCAATCTTGACTCCAGAGCCCTCCAGCTTAAAGGTAATTTTTAGACTTAAATTACAGTGGTAGAATTAAACATTTTAGTAGTACAATGCATCTGTAGGGCTTTAAAGAATCATCTCCTTAACTATTTGTGATGGTGACAGAAATGTTGAGAAGAGTCAGAATTTGCAGGGCAGAAGCCTTAATTTTTCCTTGATTCTTACTTAATATTTTTAGATCAACTCCCACTTCCCAAACATCTGTGAGGAAGTGCCATAGATCTATTACAGCCCGAGAAAGGTTTCAGAATGATCAGATTAATAGGAGAAACAAGACATTCTTAAGGAAGCAGAAGCTCCCATCACATGGACAAATAAGGCCAGGAGAGCCAAACACACGGGTGTAATGCTAGAAAGTGGTGTGAAATAATCTCATAGGTATGATTTCAACATCAAATAAAACAAATGATGAAACATGTAATGGCAGAACCACATCCATCCTCAGGGCTCCCAAAGACTACCGTCACTTCAGATCAGAAGCTCTGATTCCACCAAGATTAATCTAGCGGGACTTGATGCTTCATTTAGATTTTACTCAAAGGTATGTTCTTCAACACAGGCAAAAACGTTCTCACAGAAGTAATATTTAAATAAGACCTTTTTAAAAAAAAAAAAAAAAAAAGGTGGACAAGATCTTTCAAGGATTAACAATAGATAGGAAACCAATTAAGAATGTTGGGCACCATGTAGCCGAGAGTTTGGACAAAGCAAATTAGCCACTCCTTGCAGCCTCAGTCATTTGTTCCCAGAAAGGGGATTAAGTAGAGCTGCTCAGACTAATTTTATTGACACTGATAAAGAGGAACCAGTTAGGAAACCAAGCCCCACAAAAGCAGAAGCTGATGCTCCTCAGCCCAGCCCCGCCCTTACCCCACTGGAGAGAACTCAGCCCAAACATCTACTTCCTTCCCTGACTAACTCAGCTGTTCTCAGAAAGGAAGTGGCAACCAAGTACTTTTTCATTCGCTAAAATTAAAGACATCTGAGAAACAAGATGGTGTGGTCAGTGCTGGAACTCTTCATTCCAGACCAGTTGGTTTCAACGAACCCCAATCACTCCTCAAGAGTGGTGGTTAACAAAAAGAGAAAGGGGCTGTCTAGAAAAACAACAGTTGCCACGCAGATAATCTTTCCTAATGTACAATTCAATGAAATAAACAAAGATCCTTTGTCACTGAGGACGAGTCAGTTAGGTCATAATGATTATACCGCTGATTCTTTACTACTTTCACAAGATTACTTCATGATTTTCCTTTTAAGACTATTGTTCCTCAGGCCCTCCTCATTTGCAGAGACCAAACATAAACTTATGAGATAGTGAGAGGCTAATGGCCAGAACCTCAAGACCACCATTCCGTGTAAAGAAGATATTGTTTAGTGAGATCCAGTACAATGCAGAAGGATATCCATCAGAATCCTGTACATAAGGTTCTGGTTATCTGGGTCCTCACTGATAAAGGTTTTCCTGTAAATTTTGCCACCGCCCACACCCATGCTCACTAACGTGTTTTGCTTTCTGGGATCACAAAAATCATTTTCACTTTCGTTGCATTATGCATCCATTCAAAACTATTACAACATCAAAATAGCTGGCCAAGGAAAATAGCTGACCAGTAGTGTTTGAAATTAGACATCTTCTGTGGTGAAACTAACAAAAAATTAACAGGAACTACAGTGTTCTCATATTACAGAGGTGATCTACTTTGTAATATAATTGGCAAGATCAGCAAGAAATGGTGTTTTCTTACTCTTCTTAAAAAGATTTAACCAAAAGACTCATAAGTAATGTTTAGTAATATTTTCAATATGTAATGCTAACACACTGAGCATTTGCTATGGGCCAGGCATTTTATACTTATAAGCACTTTATACTTACTAATATATTATTTAATAATTAATATACAAGAAGTTATTAATATATTAATATATTTAATAATACACAGGAAGTCATTTTATAGTAAGTTATGGAGCTACGATTTAAAACTGTTCCATGAAATAGCTTTATCTGTAAAACAGGTTATCTGCCCTTAAAAGTGCATTTCTTTGGTTATCTAAGTGGGTAATTGGATTTTTTTTGAAGGCTTTGTAGTTCATAGTGATAAGTGAAATTACACATTACTTAATCCCTAATGTGTGATTGCAGTGGGGGCAGTGAAGTCCCCTTGTGAGGAATAACTTTGTAGTTCCTCTTGGGAAGAAATGCATCCCTAAGTAGGTTAATTCAACTGAGCTAGATTATCTTTTTAATGATAGCGTGAACAACTTTGGTTTCTGTGTTCTAAAAAGTTTCTTTCAAGTGCACCACACATCTAAATAACCGCCTGAATTTATTGTTTATGCAGCTGAGAAAACAAAATATTACTGGCAACTGAACTCAGAATTCATAAAACAAAATCATTTCTTTATTGGGAGATTTGTCTAACTGGAGTATGTATCATAATCCTCAGACTTAAAGGAACATTGTAGAAAATGCTGCAAATCACACATACAAAGAACATGAGAAGGTCTCTGTTGAATCAGAATTCTTTTTCATACTGTGTGTCTAGATGCCTCAAAAAGAGTCACTTGCACGCACTGAGAGATGATTAGGGAAGAAGGTAGAGCCCTCATGAATGGGATTGATGCCCTTATAAAAGAGACCCCAGCAAGTTCCTTCAGCCCTTAGGCCATTGGGAGGATGCAGCAAAAAGACAGGCAGGCCCTTACCATACACCAAATCTGCCAGTGCCTCGGTCTTTGACTCCCCAGTCTCCAAAGCCGCGAGAAATAAATTTGTGTTTTAGAAACCACCCAGTCAATGGCATTCTGTTAAAGCAGCCCCCATAGACTAACACATATGTAAAAATAAATAAATCGGGGGTAATTTTCAAAATCAACTCTCCTGGTTTCAGAATCGCATTCCTCAACATACTCTAGTTGGCCTTACAAGGAGCATGTAACAGGTTCCCATAACATCCTGCCTGAATGTGTTAGGGTAGAGGGCTCGATGACTCTTCATGGAATGTTTATTCTCTTGGTTTGCTGATAATAAAAATAAATACCTTTTCTTATTGCAGAACATTATACCATTTAATCTTTTTTCTTTTTTATTTATTTAAGTAATCTCTGCACCCAATGTGGGGCTTGAACTCACAACCCCAAGATCAAGAGCTGCATGCTCTTCTTATTTTAGAGCATTATATGGGGTGCCTGGGTGGCTCAGTCAGTTGAGCATCCAACTTCAGTACAGGTCATGATCTCCCAATTCGTGGGCTCAAGCCCCACGTCGGGCTTTGGGCTGAGAGCACGGAGCCTGCTTCAGATTCTCTGCCCCTCCCTCGCTCGCACTCTCAAAAATAAGTGTTTTTTTTTTTTTTTAAATCAACCTATAGAGCATTAAAAAGCTCACGCACATTCTCTCCTTTCACACGCATGCAAGCAGGCACGTATGTCAATAAGTAACCTGGAAGAAACAGCCAATGCTTCCATACACACCCCTAATTAAGAGTATTTTCCATGTGGACATGGAGTGTCTGGGTTGGAAGAATGCTTACATGTAGATAATGTACTCTAACCCCTTCTTTTTGTATATGAAAAAAATACAGGCCCAGAAATGTGAACAAGAGTACCACTACAGCCCCTAATGAATTAATGGATCTCAGTAATAATAATTATCATGACAAGGGGGACATCCAGTCCAAAACAATTAAATCAGGATCCCTAAAGGTAGGACTCAGGCATCACTGTATGCTAAACCACAGCAGGTAAAAAGGGACTTTTTTCCAAAATATTTTCCTTATTTTCCACATACCTATTAATACTCTGGAACACTATTTCCTTTACTCTAGCTTGAGCAGTCCTGCACTAAGATAAATTTCCAGAAATGAAATTACTGAATGTATAGTGAAGACTTCTGACATGTATTGTCAATTGACATTTTAGGAATTTTGAAGAGATTTATACCCCCATTTGCCATTTGTATATTCATCAAACATAGTTTATTAACTTATTCAACAAACCTTTATTGAACAACTACTATGTGCCAGCACTGGGACTGCATCAGTTAAAAAAAAAATTAATACAAAAATCTCTGACTTCATGGAGCTTACATTCTAATGGGAGTAGACAGAAACAATAGACTAAATCAAGTTATATAGTATGTTAGAGGGTGATGAGTGCTAAGTTGGAAAATGAAGCAAGGGAGGGAATTGAGCAGGAATGACTGGTGAGAGTGGGCAGGAAAGGTGACACTTGAGTAAAGATAAAAAGAAGAGGAAGCCATCGAAAAGGTTCAGGCTGCCTGGCTTTTTCCAGGAACAATAAGCAGGTTGCTGTAACTGAAGCAGAGTGAGCAAGGAGAATGTGTAAAAGATGAATGGGAAGGGGACATATCATATAGAAGGACTTGGACTTTGACCCTGAGACAGGAATCTGTTGGAATGTTTTGAGCAATGACCCACATGCTAATCAGACTTAACAGGATCACTCTGACTATAGAGAAATAAAAGGAGCAAGGGTGGAAGCAGGAAAGACAGTTAAAAGATTATTGTATAAATCCATTTGAGATATGTTGTGGCTTGCACCCAGGATGGAAACAGTGACCTTGGTAAGATGTGATAAGAATTTAGGTCTATTTTGAAGATAGAGCCAACAGGCTTACTCTCTGGTTGTAAGCGGAGTTTGAGAAAATGAGATGCATCAAATATGACTTCCAGACTTTGGGTCTGAGCAACTGGAAAGAAAGCCGTCACTCACCGAAAAGGGGAAGACTACCAAGTGGAACAGTTGGGGGGATGTGGAAGGATCCAGAGGGCCACGTTAGACAGGAAAAACTGTGAGAAGGAAGAACACCGCAAGGAGAGCGGTGTCCCGGATGCCAGGTGAACCGAATGTTTCCGTGAAGAGGTGGTGATTGTTGTGTCAAATGCAGCTGATAGATGAGGGGAGCTAAAACTGAGGGTTGATCAGCAAAAAGGAAAGTCATGGCTGACCTTGACAAGAGCAGTTACGCTGGAGCTG